AAAAAAAAAAAAAAAATATGACATAATTTAAATAGTACAGGTCATCCCTGCCCCCCCCCAAATAAACAAACGTATGGCCAAATGTGAGCACAAGGCAGAAAACCTAAATTTCCTGTTCATTCAGATTCACTTCTTACATGCCTATCACAGAATGAAAACCATTAAAATGAATGGGAACATATTGTTAAAAGACAAAACTTTACACCATAACACACTCAACTCCATGTTAGAGAAGTGACTGTGTTAGGAAAATGTCCGTCATCAAATTGTGTTTCCTTTGAAATTACTCCACTGTTTCCACTTTGACTGTTCATACTCTATTCCACTAGCCATTACAGTGACTGTTTCGATTCTTCCTCTTGCCTGCACATCACTGCCAAACTAATCCATCTTCTTAAAACAGAATTCATGCCCTGCTGGTATGGCTCTGTGGTTAGAGCACTGACCACACGCCAAGGGGGTCACAGGTTCAATTCCCTGTCAAGGGCATGTACCTGGGTTGCAGGTTTGATCCCCGGCCTTGGTCGGGGTGCATGCAGTAGGTAACCAATTGATGTGTCTCTCTCGCATCGATCTTTCTCTCTTTACCTCCCATTCTCTCTAAAAAAATCAATGGAAGAACTATCCTCGGTGAGGATTAACAGAACAAAACAGGAAAGAACTCATGTCCCTTACTCAACAAGGGACCCAATTAAGTAATCCAAACTCTTCTGCAAGTCATGCCAGTCTCTAAAACATGGCTGCACTTACCTGCTTGATCCTACTATTTTAAATTACAACAGTAATTATTATACTATCATCACAATTCACCAAAACCACACAGAGCAATACTGAGGCACATAAACACCACAGCCTCATTCACTCAATGCTAGCGAAGGGTTAGCATCAGCCAGTTATACTGCCAAATGGCAATAATATAAACAGGTTAGTTACTAGCTCATCAGTTTTAAACTTACATCATTACCATGCCTTTTTTTTTTATTTAAAGAAATATAAAAATGTCAAATTTTGCATATGTGTGATATTTATATCACATTATTTAAAATGTGGAGGATTCAAATTTGCACAAAATATGGCAGTACCATTTGCAAAGAACAGTACTTATCAAACATAATCTTACTGTTCTATGTTTGTTACTTCTGTCTCTTCCGTTGAATTTTAAGTTCCTTGAGTTGTGAAGACCACATCTTATTTATTCCTTCCTGTAAACCCATAGTCACTAGCAGTGTTACACACTTGAGTGCTCAGCAGTTGAACAACATAATGTTCTACTTCTTACCAGATAATGTAGAACCATTTGTTAGAGTGGCAGGTCTATTTCTTCTCATTCTTTCTGATGATCCTGTTGAATCTGAAGAGTCCCCAGAAGTAACACCCGAAGAGACACCAGCACTTGTCTTGTGGCTTGCAGAATAAGCTGCCTGACTAGAGGTAGATTGGGTAGGAGAACCTACCAACTCAGGAGTTACTCTTGTCTGAGACTTTACACGCTTCTGCTTGATATTTCTGTTCAAAGATATGAACAAAAGAAAGAGTATTTAATGAGACAGAAAAAGCCTAAAAGTGTATTATTACTTTACTCTGAGAATAATTTCAAATCAAAATATTCATTATTAACATTTTATTCTGGCATGGATTACTATTAACACTCTTCCTCTAAATTTGATATTATTTTATTACAAACTGGAGTAATAAACAAATGATCCAATTAATAGAGTTATAGAGAGTGACAGTGAATTCCTTAGGCTCTTTGGATTAAATGCTTAGGGGAGCCAACATTTGTGTAATACAGGCATTTTTCAAACTATGAATCTGAGTCTCACCATGACCCAACTTTCTCTCCAGTCTATTTATGTTTCTAAACACTGTATAAAATTAAAAGAAGAAATGAACAAAACCTGAACAGAAAGAAGAGAGTATAGAGGACATAAGTGGTGACAGAAGGAAACCTGAGTTGGGGTGGTGAACACAGAATACAATATATAGATATACATACAACTGTACCCCTGAAACCTATACAAAGTTGGCAATAACCAAGTCACCTGGTATTTTTGTTAGCCTGATTAACACGGTTACAATTTTGCTGTCTCCTGAACCTCTGGCTTCTTCGAAGTTTTTCATTGAATTTTTGACCAATTTTAAAATCAGAGGAGATTTTCTTCATTTTTTCTTCAAATAAGGCAGACAATCTCAAGGTCATACTGTAAATCTGCAATATGAAAGCAAAACTATAACGACAAAATATTTTTCTAAGAAAGAATGTAATCACTGAGGCTACTTGCAACCTATTACTTTTAGCGATAATGGCTCTTACTGTCTTTATCTATTTCTCACCGTTTCCCTTCAATGACATCTGTAAGAATCTGCAGGAAAGAGCAACTATCTTGGCTTTTCTCATTTTCACATCTACACGTACACACCTAAAAAAGTCCCCTTTTCCAAAAGTTAGATGGGAAGTTGGTTGGTTTTCAGATTGCTACTTAGGCAGCAAAAGAGAAGTGTCTCCTTGAGGCAAGGCAACGTTTCACCAGTCTCTACTTGAAATCTGCCTGCCTTTGATGCCACTTAGATCTAAATATGAATTACAGACAAAAGAATAGAAAAAGGAAAATATGCCCTAAAACTTTTATATGGAAAAATGTGTTTTAACAATTTTTGTAATTAAATAACATCAAGTCTTGAAAAGAGCAATGTGGTGGTGAGTGCTGCTGTAAGTAACACTTGGTACAGCTACTGCTCATTGACTGGAAGTGCTCCTTCCTTGTCCACTGTCATTCCTGAAAATCAGAGCAAAGGTCTTATATTCGAAAGCTAATTATGAATCACTCTGATGCACCTCAGAGGAGGGTGAAGAGACTAACACTAGAGAACCTTAAAAAAAAAAGATACGAGACAAATGAATTTCCTATATGCTTCCTATAGATACCATATAAATACATATAAAATGAATATATGTGAAATTTATAATCCTTGATATCTTTGATCTAATCTTTAACATTTCCAATATCTTGTGCACATATTTAGTCTTTTCACTTAAACCTGAAGTCTAGCATAAGTCACCAATTTTAACAAGAGTGATTTTTCCCCCCAAGCATATTGTTTGAAACCTCTGGTTACCTTATCGCCATTTTCGTACATGTTTTCTCATTAGCTTTTATGTAAAATTCAGTAATACATTTGAATTGAAAGTAAACATTATTTAACAAAAATGGGTGCTAAAGCCCAGCCAGCATGGCTCAGCCGTTGAGCATCGACCTAGGATCCAGGAGATCGAGGTTCAATTCCCGATCAGGGCAGATGCCCCGGTTGCAGGCTCAATCCCCGGGGGGGG